CAACTGCAATACTTGCTGGAGACATTTTGGCAGCACAATTTTAGAGTAGAAAGAACCTGAACAGTGATTTGCAGTTTGTTTGGACAAAGCAGCACAGTATAACCCGATCTAGGCTAAAGAGAAGATTAGAGTAGGCTGCTGCTGAAGAATGTAACATAAATGTCCTGTTTGGAATATTTCTTCAGCAAATACCGTAAACAAATCCTTTCAGAAAATGTTACTATTGTACTCAAACACAGAGCAACTTGGTAATCCAGCCAGAGGTGAGTCACCTCTCTGGTTTCATGGCGGGTTTTTAGATTGCCAATTAACATTTCCAGGATTTGTGACCAGCGCAATCATCACTGGTTTTGAAAGTCAGAGTTATACTATAATTACCAAAATACCCAACCATTTTCTATCTGGTTACACTGAATATCGTCAAAATAACACAAACAGTCTGGGCAGTCTGGACCAGATGTTCTATATTAAATACCAGAACCAGAACCTTTTGCTGAAGATGCAAATCATTAAAAAACATCTCACAAAGATAAACTCTCATATTCAAAAATGGCTCTTTAATTTCCTTAAACACCTGGTCACTGTAGATTTTAGCAACTGTTACTCAAACAGGAGGAAAATGTGCATTTGTTGGGGACTATTTTCAGCCATGGATGAATACACATTTGGTGAAGTGATTATTTACAGCAGCAGGGACTGACTGACCCAAACTAAACTACACTGCCCATGGCACCCTAAATGCATTACTGCTATTATCAGAGGTGGCAGTTGTTTAAGGCCTGGTCATAGAGGTTCTGGGAAATGTTGTACAATTATAGAACCTTCATAAATAAAAGGTCATGACAGAAAGAGCGATAAGTGACCTTGTTTGTAGCTCAAGATACCTTGTCAAAAGATATCTCCTTTATGATGGTGGTCTAAGGGGAAAATGCTTTTCAGGCTGCAGGAGATATTATTGTTGCAATACTACAGGTGGCCACTGGTACAAATCAGCAGCAACTGCACCGAGCTTCTAAAACCACATATTTATTATTTATTTCTTAATCTAATTTTATAATATAAAGTCTTCCAGAGTTCCAAGTTCATGTTACACATCACTGTTACTGTCTGATCACAAGATGACACTTGAATCAACAATAAAATAGTGGCTCAAACTGGCAAAAATACTTTGTTATTGACACAGTCAGAGACATGCAGATGAATTTTGCTGAGCCACTTTCCTTTTTTAGGAGTAATTGTATTGAATTGATGCAGTAGAGTGAAAAGAAATGTGGAAAGCAGGTGTAGGAAAAAAAGTAATTCAGACAAAGAGTTGAAAGACATCACTGAGTCCCATCACTCTCTGGGGCTTCCAGTAAATCTTTAGCTCAACAGGTTAATGTGAATCTTGCAGCAGCATCTGTTCAGGAGCGCATCAGCTGTTGAGCCACATTTTTCCCACTTTCAATCATTTTTTTCTCATAGGGCCAGAGTTTTGTGAAAATGGATTTGCATCTCCACATCCCATTGAGACATGCAAATCATTCAATGAAAGAGCACCGGAGTAAAAACAAAACCCCCGCCAACTGCTGTGGCTGTGTGAGAGGTAGTACAAAGAGGCCTTTGCTTTCACTGCACACAGCCTGCAGCAGCGATATGAAGAGACATGGATGGAGATTTGTGTGATCTTAAAGAATTCAAACCCACAACTGTGTTTGTGTTTGTACAGCATCATAGACTGTAGTCATAAAAAAATATCAAGCTTTGTCCAAGTTTCATCTTAGCTTTAATAATTCAGGCGTTTTACAGTTACTTTAACTCCACAAACGTCCAAAATAAAAACACATCTTACTTCATCCAGTACCACAGCTTCTCACAACTCCTGCATCTATCAGCTGCAACAACAACATTGTGTTTAAATCATTTATAATTATCCCGTAAAACCTTCCACGCTCGTTGTACTCATACTGCTCTGACATCTCAAAGCCATCATCACCATCAGGCCCAGCTCCCATGGCCTTTTTTTAACAACCTCCATATCTCTGACACACCTCCTGGATTACAGCCGTGTGAAAACGCCAGACACAAATGGCGATGATATTTCCCACTCTGAATCAGATGTGATCCAGCAGAGCTCTGGAGCCGCACGGCTGTTGCACAAGCCACCGCCGAAAAATAAAAGAAAAAGCGAGCAGCTGCCACACTCAACCTTTTTCTTTTTCTCACTGAAACCACCAAGCAAAGTTGATAAAAACAAAAAAGTGTGTACTCACCAAATGGAAGTTCCATACTTGAACTGACTTGTGTGTTTACATTGACCATGTCGTCCTCTGCCTCCTCTCAAGCATGTGTTTTAAATCCACTTTTTCCTCCCTCACCATAAGGTGTAAAATGTGGAAGTTTGGCGCAGGGTGCTGTAGTGAGAGAAGGGTGTTGTTGGTGCAAGGTAAGGCCGGTGTTGCTGCTGTTATCTTATTGATTTTCCTAATCTGGGCAAATGTGGGTGGGGAGGTTAAACAGTAACCAGGCTCGTATGGACACCAATCTATATAGCGGCTGTAACTATGGCAACATGATGATAGAAACTCAAATAGACATAAAGTTATTATGTGTTTTTCCCTCTTTCTCATCACCAAACAGTCGTTTTCTCCAGACCCAGATTAGGAGTGAATAAGAAGCGTTTATACAAAAAAGGAGAGAGAAAGACAGAAGGTGGGGAGAGATATAAAAGACAGAGAGGAGTGGAGAATGTACTGAGGGTGGCAGCTAACAAACTGTGTATGACTAGTGACGTCATCAGTTTTGTTTTGACTGAGGGGAAAAAGTCGCTTACAGCTTCAGCTGTCAGACACACATTTGAGTGAGAAATACAGGTGAATGTCGAGACATCGTCTGAAATCTGAATTTAAAAACATTGCGTCCACAGTCTCCCAGCAGAAACAGAAATCATGTTTTAATTCAAGAAGACAATTTCGTGCTCCAGTGTGAAAGATACCAGCCGCTGGCAAACAGGCTTTTAAAATGTTACTTATTTTTCTAATTATTCTCAAAAATAATGATGGTTAAACATGATTTACTTGGATCACTCAGTTGATATTGAAACTAATAGTCAGGATTTATCAACAGCATGTAATTTATAGCTTTTGTAAGTTTTGCTATTGCTACATAGCCAACATTAGCATTAATAGCTGTTTACTTATACCAGTCTAGAAAAAAACATCATGTCTTTATTCTCCTAGAGCTGTGTCCAGCAGTGGAAAGCAACCCTTTTGTTTTGCTTCTATTTCTATCACTTCTGTTATTGTACTGAAGTTAGCATGCTAATCAGACTTTCTCATCTCTTGCCGATAGAGTCACTGTGGCGTCCAGTCTGCCTTGTAGCACTGCTTAGAGGATGTATTATAACCTCTTGTCTTGAAAACACAGGCTGAAGCCCTTGGCAAGATTGATAAATAAACAGCTGTTAATGCTAACGCTAGCAAAACTTACAAATAGCTCCTTTAAAGTAACAGTTTGATATTTTGGGAAGTATGTTTGTATGTTTTCTTGCCATGAATTAGGTTAGAAGATCGATACCACACAAGTCTTGATTGTAAATGCCATTTTCTTCTAAAATTAAAAGTTAGAGATTTGAGGCTAAAGCCCGCAGCCACTTAGCACGTAGCTTAGCATAAAGAGTGGAGACAAAGGGGAGACAACTCTCCTTGCTCAGTCTGAAGGTAACAAAATGGACCTACTAGCAGCTCTGAAGCTCACTAACTTTAACATGTTTCTACTTGTTTGTTTGATCTTTACAAAAACCATAGAAAAATCGAGAAGTCTAGGTTTTGCTGAAGGTTATGTACTGGATTATTTCTTGGCCGGAAACCTCACTGTGACGACAAAACTTCAAGATAAAGCCACTAAATGATGTTTTAGCAAATCAGTTTTTGTACAAGCTAAACAAATGAGCTATAGTGTGTTAATGAGTGAGATCCAGAGGTGATGGTAGAAGGATTTTTGCCAGAGCCAAGCAAGAAGAGTAAGCAAAACATTTCTCTCACCCAAAAATCCAGTCACTGTCAACATCTGAATAAAGAGCTGCTTAACAAATGGATGTTACAGTCCTGTTTGTGAGGAGCTTTCTTTGTTTGCTGGGCGGAAATTATTTCCATATCACATATTTTACGTTTGCTGTTAAGTGACTATGGTGTGTTGGTCCCGACAAATTTGTCAGGAGGCGCAGCTAATCCCCTCATATTTTAGACCATAAAATCTGCATTAGTCTCCCGTTTTATGGCAGGGCAAGTCTCTTAGGGGTAAATGGAGAGGTGTAATGAGGTGAAATGCAGTACAGAAAATTTCCTGCAGCAGCAGAGAATAAACACAAGTAGTGAACAGCAAATTATTTGCAGGGATATATAGTGTCATCAGTAATTTATAACTTAATTAACGTTCAGTCAGGCAAAAAGACAACCGTGAATCAAACACATTCTGGTTTACTGCAGGAATTAATTGACAGTTTTTCACAGTGAGCAATGAAACATATTTTATTAATCAGGTTAGAAAACAGAATCAATAACATCCAAGGTTACAGTAAGTTTAATCTGTTCAACAAAAGTGCTTCATTTTTGGTCAATGCCTAAAAAATCCTTCAAACCAATAAGTTCATCAAAAACAGTGCAAAAACTCTGATGTGTTCATGAAGTATAAAAATAAGCAACATTTTCACCCAATACAAGAAAATCACCTCTTTTGTTTTCAATATTATTTTGTCAGTGATGCGGATGATCAACAGCAATGAAAATATAAACATTCATTCAAACTGTATCACTACATCAACTCAACTGTGTGTGTGAAACATTCATTAATAAAGATTTACTTTGAACATAGTGGTAACTGGACAGCTGCATCACTTTCTGTTTGTTGAAATTGTCTTGTTGTGCAGCCATTGCATTAAAGCTGGACTTCACATGGACTATTATGACTTCGAATTTTTTTTTCTTTCTTCCATTAAAACACATTTAAAACACAGCGTTGTGTTAATATCTTAAAAGTCTTCTGGTTCTTGTGTTTGGTGAGCACTGGTTTCTCCAGCAGGAGCCGCCATAACTGGACGGACAGAGAGAACAAGGCCTCCCCGTCTTATAGGGAGCTTCTCCCACCCAGTTTCCTCTGAAACACATATGAATATTGTGTTATGCATTTCTTTTTTTTCCTTTTTTACATGTTCAGGTCTTAATCTTTATCAATGGATCATAAATCATATATGGTAACAACTATAGCTGTCAGTTAAATGTAGTGGAATGAAAAGTAAAATTTAAAAAACTTAAAGTACCTTACAACTGTAATTAAGTATAGTACTTAAGTAACGGGTTGATGTAGTAATATACCAATGTATAAATGTTATTCATTACGAAGGCTGGATATTTCACTGTGTTAATATCAGTGTTGGGGGAAAACTAGTTAAATGTAACAGGATTATGTAATTAGTTACTGGGAAAAAATTTAATTAAATTACAGTTAATAATGAAAATGTTACATCTGAATATATAATTTTCAGTAAGAATATAACATTCATTCTGTCGCTTTGCATCTTTAGTCTTTACTCCCACCACTGACTATATATAATACTTAATTGTTAGTATATTTGGTTGATTATTCTGGGAACTAAAACAACTAAACTGAATTTAAAGGGCAGTATCATCACACTGCTGCTGTATAGGTTCTTAACTCTTTAATATGTGTGAGATAGATCAGGACACCCTGGTGTGTGTGTGTGTGTGTGTATCTCCTGATGACATGAAGGTCTTCTTACTTTATAGAGTAGTTGCAGACGAGCAGCGTTACCTCCCTCCATGCGCTCCCAAACACGTACATGTTGGAGCACTTCCTGACGGCACATCCCACTCTGCTGGTGCTTGCCCAAACCATCTAACAGGAACCACAAAACACACTGTGATGCTCACATCCACAGACTGAAACCTTTCCACATCTGTCCACATTTAAAGAGAAGAGACACATTTTAAAACTTGACTGACATCATCGATGTTTGAGATTTGCTAGACATAATCTGTAAGGGACTGTATGAAAAGGAGGCAGGCTGAATCTTTTGTTTAAAAAAAAAAAACCATGCCTCTTCCCAGTGTCATTAATATTTTCTTTGAATCCTTATCAAAATGACAAATAATCAAGCCACTATTTTCTAAGAGCTGTTAAATAAGTGATTTAAGAAAGTAATATAATCAAGAATTTTTTTTAATATGATTTGAATATAAATCTGGTATGAGAATAAAAAAAAAAAATTACATAACCTCCCTCTTTTTATCACCCCTCCTTCCCCTTCCTAATAATTTTCAGACAGTCCCTAAATACAATTATCACAAAATGAGGCGACTCTTTCATGTAGTGCTCCCTTTTTTAATAATATCTTTTGTGGAAAACAAACACTGACGGTCTTAAGTGTCCAGTTCAGTGCAGGAGGGAACTCCTCGACTCCTCTGTCCATTTATATAAACATAACTGTCATGACAGAAGGTTTATTTATTCCTTATTGTCATTACATCGCTTCATACTGTAGCTACAGCATCACAAAATGAACATATCCATCCCGACTCATTGCTCAGTTCAAAAGAGAAACTTTGCCTACTGCACCTGAGTATAGTGAGAGCACACAGATCCACTGCATCTGTTGGGGTAAGAGAAATGGTGCCTCTCATCATACCAGGACCTGAGAAGATCAGTGATAGACTGGTACCTGTCCCAGAAAACACACAGTCAATCATTCATATTAGTATCATAATGTCTCACAAGATCCATCACTTGGAAATGTATTAAGACGTTTCAAGACCAAGAGCTGATTCTGAGTATGGATCTCTGCTCTACCTTCCTGAAGTGATTGACAGGTTTTGGCCCATATATTTCATGGCTTGTGTCGGACCATGATCCCAAATGCATAGTGAAGCCCAGGAGTCAGCTGAGTTAGCCAATCCTTCATCCCAGAGCTGTAGAGATGAGAAGAGGAGAGAACAGGAGACACACTTTGTTCATTTTATCCTGCTCAGAAAGCAAACAACAAAAAGCAATTCCTCTCTTTGCCTAAAAATAAGACTAACGTCAAAACATTTTCATATGGCAGCTCCCTGCTGACTTTTAAGATTTCTGTCCAGCAGAATAAGCAAAGACATGTTGTTCAGTATAGTATTAAGGTAACTTGGCTGCAGAACATCTTATAAACATTTGTGGGATCAGGTAAAGTTTCAGTTTTGTTCATTTTTCACTCAAAACTGTAATGATTGTAATTAATTATTTTTTCCTTCTGAGTCTCTGAGACTCCAAACAGGATTACAGTGACATTTTCTGTGGCAGACTTCATCAGTAATAATAAGCATTTCTCATAAAATTAGGAATAATCATGAGGTACCAAGGTGTTAACCAGTGTTAAGTATGTTCTTTGAGCTGTTAAAATGGGCTCTTCTGGTCACCAAACATGTGGTGTCTGATGTTGATTTTTTTTTCTGAAATGCCTTTGTAAGATATTTTTATCTCACCTTTATAATCTGTGAACATCTTCTAGTGTGTGTTCTGCACTTTTTGCATTTGAAGATAATAAACTAAAAACCAAAAGCCTCAACTTCATCGTGTCCCTGCTCTAACCCCCCCCCGCCCCCCCACTGTTTCCTCACCATGTACTCCATATTAGCTGCAGGGGGGATGACCTGAGAGCGGACTCGGTTGTGGTAATTCAGCAGGGCGTTTATCTCTCGAGATGAAATGGCCCTCTTACGTCTGCTGCGAGACACACCGGCAGCTCCAGTGAGCATCCTGACGTCAGCCTGTGTCTCAGCTCCAGCTCTGGACGCGTTGAGCAGCTCTGTGGAGCTCGACAGCACAGCAGCAGCAGCGGCAGCGGTGGCTCCCATGTGAGGCATCATCCACAGGGTGGCGGCAAACAGGAGCTGAACACAAGCAGCGCCCATCTGAGCTCTGTGGAGGAGGAGGCAGCTGCACCACGTCCCTGCAAAACTCTGAGGAGGAGACAAGTTTTCATCGTGATCAGATTCTCAAAGAAAATCAATGAAAGATGCTCAAAGAGGCTGAGGGAGGTGGTGGATAAATACACACATTATGTGCTGATTTCAGCTCATTATGAAAAATATCAAAGCAGGTGGTTCATTAATTTAGATTGTTAATTAACTTGATGTGATCCATTAAGGAAAGAATGAAAAATCTTAAAATATGCATCAATGAGGCTGAATTTATTCCATTTCACATTTCAGTCAAGTCACATAGCAACAGATGGGACAATATAATTAAAGTGATTCATTTTTCTTATGTGAAATTTCAAAATGTGTTTGATGTAACGAAGCAAAAAACTACCTGCAAAATACACCTACCAGCAACTAAGTAGATGTATTGTGTTACTGATAATTCTTCACTTGGCTGTGGACTTTCTTTTAGTAATTGTCCACAGTTTTTACTACAGACAATGTAAACAAACTCAATTTCAAAAGTCAAAACTCCCCTAAATGAATAAATAATTAAAAAATATCTTACCATATGCATTAACAATTTACTAAAAAATCATTGAGCATATGCAGTAAATTAATCAGTAATATCTGGTAAATAAATAATAAATAAACTAGTCGCCAGCAAACACATATGTCACATTAAAGTAGAAAAACAGCTGCGTCTCGTACCTTCATCAGTGGATCCTTTCACAGAGGCAGACGAGCAGCAGAGAAGCAGAGGAGACTCTTGGCTACAGCACGAGTCTTTGCAAACAAGCTGGTGTGTCATGTGTGTCAGGGAGTTTTAACTGGGCCAAGAAGGTTTCTGACGCACAAAAACCCGCCTGTATGCTCCTTCTCTTTCCTTCCTAAACTTTCGGTCTGTCTCTTTATTTCTCCCAGAGAAAATCACAAACGCAGGAAATTGCCTTTCATCACAGACACTGCAATCATGAACCCCTAACCCATTATAATATAGTTGTGCACAGATATACATTTTAAGTGGTTGTACAGCACTTTCAACAATTCAAAAACTTCCTCCTATATGAAGACTTATTTTATATAATTACAGCTGTGTTATACTGCCATTCATTATCTGTCTTTATACCAGTATCCAGTTATGGATGCTTCGCAGTTGTTGACAACTACATCAATATTAAACACTTAAAATGACTGTATAGCTTCTAACAACTATCATGTGTTATATACCACACATGCATATGAATGATAAATAGAGGAGTTAAAATAAAGTGCTACCCACTTTCTCTCTTTTAGACACTCTAATATTTGAATTTTGTATTTGAGAGCTTGAGTCTGCCTTACAAGAGTCTGCTACAGTAGTAACAGAGCACATGTTTTGGCTGCCCCATGACCTCCCTCAGTTGTTTCAATAAAACACAATGAAATGTTTAAATAAGCTCGCCCTGGGGAAGGACGGAGCGATGTGCTGAAGAATGCATATTAAACAAAAAGGGAGAAAAGTGGCTGCAGAGTCAGCATTCATCTCCAGCTGTTATTGGTTTCTGGAAGGGCCCCAGACCCTCTTCCATGTAGTATAACAAGAGACTGAGGACACTGCCAAGATACACTGCACCACCTGGCTCTGCAGTGACTGGGGTCGAAGAGATCAGTGAGACCAGGACTCAAACACAGAGGAACAACTGGAACATGAAATTAAAATTAGGACACAAGATCAAATGAAATGTGATGGTATTATGGAATTATTTTTAGTTTCCATAATGTGATTGGCACCTTTTGAAAACCCACTGCAATCATTTAGTCATGCCGCTGCCCTGAAATTATATGTTCTTAGCCAAAAAAAATGCCCACCCACCTAAACGCCCACTATTTGCAAGATAATTGAAAATGTCATGGACTGTGAGAAATCTGAATTTATGAAAGGCTCTGCGTGAAAAGAATGAAATGACCTCTTTAACTTTGGCACTCACAGTGGATGGGGAACCTGGTCCATGTCAGTTTAGCCCAGTTACAACCTTCAGCACTTCAACTTAAGAGTCAAATTCTGAACATGCAACTGCTTAAATGAAATGATATGAATATTCTCAGTGATAAAGTAAGTAAAATGTAAGTCACTCACATTCCTCTCTGTCATCTTGACACATTACCAGATCATAAAGCTGCTTCAGGAAGAAAAAACAACAGCATAAACTAGAAGGGCACCGAGAGAACGCAAACCTCCGCCAAGGACAATGTCAAACAACATCCATCAGACCTCAGAGAAAAAAATTCATATTCATAGTCAATGATCCAGAACTGTCCCTAAATGTAATGGGGACTTCCCTCGCCCATGCCCCATCCATGCACCCAGTTTGGTGCAAATTGGTTCAGTACTTTTTAAATAATCCTCCAGACAAGTAAAAAGACACTGACAGTAAAAAAACAGAATTTCTGACAGTAGAGACTGGCCATATTGTGTAGGTTTTGTGGGAAGAGCAAATAAGTAAACTTGAAAAAAACAACAACTGTCCAGTCCAATAAGTCTTATGAGAGTTCAAACTGCACAATGGCAGTCAGAAAGAAATATCCGGGGCATTCTGATTATAGATATGAAACTAAAAATCCTTTATTAATATATGGATAGGCCAACGCATTTCGACTCACAGAGTGTTCATCAGGACATCAGGGAAGACTCTGTGAGTCGAAATGTGTTGGAGTCAGAAAACCAAGAGCTCTTTGTCCATTGTCCAGGTGTGTGTTAGATGTTTGCACCTACGACTAGTACTACTACCTGGGTAGGGTTAATAGTGTGAATGTGTCCTTATCTGGGGTCTGTGTGAAAGAATCAAGCTGGTCAGGTGTCTTCTATCTGTCTTCCACGTTCGTCCACAATCACACAGGCTAGGATCCCCATCACAGATTCCTCACAGATTTTATCTGGTAAACAAAAGACAATCTACACAAATAGTGGACAATGATACGTTACTCTGTACTCTATGTCTGACATGAGACCTCATTAATTTTTACCCTTCCATCTTATAATGTACAGTATAACCAATAAGTAAAGTTAGACTTCAATTAACATGAAATTAATTACTCCTTATCTTGACCTCCTTTGGTATTTTAACATAAACAAATTAAGTATTTATCATTAATTACCTTAGATCACGATATAAAGTGCATTTTAATATAAAAAGATGAAATATGTAGCTTTGTAAAACACTTTTACCTGTAACGTATCACATCTTACTGTTTTTAAACATCAATTATATACATCACATTTTAAAATGTTCCTTATAAACATGAATATGAATGAAATTATCACTATTAACCTTCCAACATACAACTTCAACAACAATCTAGCTGCTCTACAAACTTTGAGACAAGTTAACTACTCTAACAAATGGCTGTACTGTAAATGCGACAAGTACAAAGCGCTTTTAATATTTCATGCAGCTATGAGCTGTTCCACTAATCAAACCAGCAATTGGCGCTACGCTATCACCATGACACCCTTCTAACCGAGGCCAACGGCTAGCGGTTAGCCTCGATTAGCGTTAGCGATCTTTTGTGAACATTACAACAATACAAAACGCACCAAAGTACAGTACAAACATTAGACAACATTCCCATAACTCCCTTTTATGTAAAGTATCTGAATTTGAACAGCAAGTACAGTGTATTATCTCTCCTCACGGTGGCTAGCAACAGACTAGCATAGAATGTGTGCTTCAACTCACTGGGATTCCAACAATAAAAACTCAACTGAAGCGGTCTCCCTCAAGTTCACTGTCAGGCTTCTAATAAAAGAACAGCTTGTTAACCTTGACTTATGGAAACATTGAAGGTTGTACAATTATTCTGTGGTGTTTCCTACCAAGAATAGTTTGGCTGATCTGCAGCACGCTCTCAAGACGTTTCAGGAGGAGGCCACAAGGGAAAGTGTGGGGGTGATGAGAAACAACATAGCGCTACCTACACAAGGTGGCAGAGTTTATTGTGCTCCCACAGGAAACAACCACACTCCTAAACGACATATAAGGTTTTAGTATCCCTGTGTTTCATATGGGTTACACTGACAAATCTGGGCAGATTCCATTTGTTATCCATCCTCCAGTTCCTCTAGTCCTCCTATTGACACCCGTGAAATTTTCTGTATGTGTGCCAAAATTGGTCCAGATGTGGAGGTAGCATCTGAAAATCATGCAGTATATGGGCCAGATTTGGGCTATGAAATGGGGCAAACACTGGGCCAGAAGAAAACAACCATGTGGCCCAAGTATGGGCCAGATTTGTTTTGCTATTGTTTGATCCTCCGGGGACCGTGCCAATCTGTACAAAATGCCTCAGCAATCCAGCCAATTCAGTCTGGACCAAAACGGAGGACCAACCAAATGATATAGACATCTAGTCATGCTGCTAGCATGGCAAAGAGTCACCACCAGTCACAACTACATTACATAAGTAAAAAAGTATGTAATTCACATCAGGGTGTCTGTCTAAATCATCCAGTTGGTTACTGCTCCTCTTAAATATAGCAAAAAAGATGGAATCAACCCGAATGCACTGACCAGGTGACACACAGAGACTCTGTGTGTCACCTGGTCAGGTAAGCCCTCTGAAGTGAGCCCTTCAAAGGTTCACAGCATACTTCCACACAGGTTCAGCAGAGTGCTGTCAGACTTTGTGACTTTGTGTGTAAAATGCACAGAGGGATCCATCAAAGAGGCTGCTGGGGCCTTTGGCATACAGAAGGTCAACCACACTCAAGGTTCAGTTAAAACCCAGGGTCGCATCTTCTTGTTGATCTTTCAGTTTGACCAGTTTGCTTTTCCACTCGCCTGAAGCACCACCTCACTGAATACAACTGACCATAAATATAAAGTACATCTTAATTCTGTCTAATTTTTATTATCTAGGGTCACATGTTCATTTTTATTATGATTTTTTAACAAATGTTTGATGGAGTCAAACTGTCATCTTTAGAGTCGAATCTATTGTGCTGACTGGATGATGAGTTTGAGCATCACTTTCCGTGCTGAAAATGAAGCCTTGTACTCGCAGAATCCAATGTTTAAATTTAGCAATGCCCACATGTGTGTCAATTCTGTCACATAGTTAATATTTCTATCATCGCACATCAAAGAGGGGAGAAATGTTGAGCAGCAATATAGAACAGATCTATCTAACTGCTGAAGGTGTAACAGACAGACCAAGAGACAGTGGAGCGAGTGCAGCTTGTTTTTAAACATTTTTGGAGAATTCCTGCTGAATAATATAAAATTTTGAAGAAGAGTAAAAGGTGAAAGTGGAAATGTGACTGTTGTGCGCAGAATTGACTGGGTTGAAAAGACAGAAGATTTAACTTTGGTATAAACTTTCAACCAAGCTCTCATCCAGTAATAACAGTAAAGTCTGTGTGGTTGGACCATTTGGTTTCATGACCTTCTCTGGGTTCTGGGTAAAAGTCATCAGGTTGCAAAATGCATATGCCATGACAAAATCATTGCTAAATTTCTATAATTTAGTTTCCCATTCTACAGTATTGAAACCACTGAAACACAAAGCAGTCTCCAGGTGGTACTGTGGTTGTCTCTGCAGGACTGAGTCTTAAACATTCAGGAAATCTGAGCAGGGTTCATCTGAAATGGGTCAAAACCAGAGAGAGGATGATTCTCTGGCTAGACCAGACCAGACGGTTTCCCCACAGACCCTCCCTCACCCCCTGCAGCATGACATCATCTGTCTGGTCTGAGGCACTGCAGGGCGCTTGCACACAAAAGCTCCCTGTGACCTTGTCGTGACTGAAAGGTGATGAGGAGAACTCAGTGGCCTCATGTACTTACCCGAGGACAAACATAAAACAAACCTTGCATCAACTATATTTGAGGTCCATGAGCCACAGTTTTTCAGGTGTCATCCAAGTCTTTCAGCTTTGTCTGAGGAACAGCACAGGAGCTGGTTCCTCTCACAGGGAGAGATGCTTGTGGTTTCACAGCAACACATATGCCTGTATTACAACCGTCTGATCAGAAGCCAGTGGTTTGGAATAATCTATAAAAACTGTCTATAAAAAGTTTATCCCAGACAAATTGATGCAGCTACATTAAAGTTATTTTAATCCATGTATTTAAACAAGCTTCTCTTAACTCTACACAGCGTTTTAGCATTTTAGCATTGTTATTTTGGTTTTCCAGCAATACACTGCTTTGATTCACTCTCACCACTCTCATCAGCCTTTTCCAGCAGCAGCAGGCAGATGTTTGCGAACAAGCTCTGATAAACCCACTGTACACTGCCAACCCAGCACCAAATGGCAGACAGACACAGTTAGCAACTAGCTGGTGAAGAAAGTGAAGCATTTAGCAGCTAAAGAGGAAGTTATTTCCCTCAGGAGTTGATGGAGCCCTAAAACAGCGCTAATAAGACAGTGAATATTGGATTTACATTCATCAAGTGGACACAAACACAAGTCCAAATGAATGATAATGTTGCACCATAACTGCTGGATGGCAAGTTCACCATAAGAACTCTATCATACAACAATGCCATGTTTAAAGGTTGTTGCGCTGCCACCAAGTGGCCAAACAAAAATATCTAAGGCAGGTTTATAATGTGTTACTATAAAACCTGTGAAAATGCATTCATTTAATTGTGTTTCCTTGTGATTTCCCTGAAATCATTTCCTGAGAAGAACAAACAGCTTTTTCAGCAGAACAAATCAAAAGCACTGATCACTCAGTCACTGACAGAATACTGAAAATACAACAGGCACATTTCTCTGCAGTGTCAGCACGCAGGCAGACAGTAAAACAGCACAGTCAATGAGCAGCATCTCCTCCAGAGTGTTTCAGAGCTAAGCCAAGCAGAGTTTGTTTTAATAATTCACGGTGACATTTTCCATTCTGCACTGGAAAGCCTCAGCCTTTTTGATAAACCAGCCAAGATGTCTGCAGGAGACTTTTTCATGCCGTTTCTCATGTTTGCTTGAGATTCTTATACTGAAACAGGGTTTCATCAGTGTTTGCATTTAGCATGTTTACATGGGGATATCTAGAGACTAGCAGCAACAATTTAATTCACCTCAAATGTTTTGTCTTGTATTAAGACCTTTTTTAATCTAACCTTAGTCCCTTTAAATCAACTCTTTTGGTGAGATGTCTGAACCGTAATATGTAACCGTTTAACTTAGATGCATTTCGCCTGTTGCCAGAATTTGTAGTCTGGCATTGATGCTTGAAGAACAATCAGCCAAACACCAGGCATGCCTGGAAAATTGCATTTCTTGTTTGCCAAGTCAGAGTGCATCAAGGACAAACTTTGTCCTGCATTCAGATGCTATAAGAGGAGATTTATAATCCTCCAGTACAACTATAATGACTCAGCAAGAGCTGCAGTCAACTTTACCATCATAAGCACAAGCATAGACAAACAGAAATTCACAACACATGATTTACATTGAAGAAAACAATCACAAGTGTTGTTCAGTAGTATGGGTGTATTGTTTTAATCTTTTCTTTAGCTGATTCCATTTGTAAGGGACAAATTTTAAAGGTTTTTCCAGGCATGATAATGACTGTATTTAGATTTCACCAGGGAGCAGAAGTAGTTTGACTGTTTTTTCCAGTAGAGACTTCTTAATGTAGGTAATTAAAGTACAGTGCAGCCCCCTTGCTTTGGTCCCATCCAGACCACATACATGTGGAAATTTGTCAGAATCAAATTTCTCATATGAGGTCAAATAAAGTGTGACCTCATATGATCTTCATACAAGATGCAATTCTGGGTGAGGAATTTATCACCTAAGAAAAAGTACAGTGCAATGTGATACACAGATTAAAGAGGCTTTAGGGTGGATGAAGTGGCATGCAAATATACAATAGCATCAAATTCAAGTACAGATACAATTGCAGATTGACCAGCAGAAGAGAAACATGAATTGTCTGTATACAAAATGTTGACCTGTATTTTGTTAGTCATCTCTTTAGCATTGCACACAAAAGGCTTTATACAACTTAAAAGTGAGTCTGTTATCGACTCAGATAATTTCAGTTTGTCTGCTTTCAGTCTGTGACGTGGTTGCATTCATATTGAGGTCAACATGTGCTATGAAACTGGACACCTTGACCCCCTGACTTACATCCACATGCCACACTCTACAAGACTCTGTCTGAGTAAACATGACCCAGAGCAAAAAGGTTTGTGTCTGTCTATGTAGCTGAGTCTCTCATACTTTAAAATATCCTGAAAAACGTTTTCTTTTATTCCACACACTGACAGTAATCTCAACGGCAATTTAAGAAGAAATATTTTTTAATCTCTGTTGGGAGTATGGAAATAGGATTTTGTGATTATGGCCACATCTTGAAATAATCATTTTTAACATTGACATTGATTGTTGACTCAGACTTTCCCTGACTTTCTACCAACATTCATTCTGCCCAATCTTCCTTAAATTGCACACCATATTTCTGATTAATGCTGATGAATGTAGCCGATATATTTTTATTTAATGCTGTTTTTATATTTTTATTCTACATTTCTACATCTGGCTCTGCAGGTATGCAATTATGCGGATGCGGTTTTAATTGTATTGTTATCTGTAGCTTAAAAAACTGAAATACCTCAACCTCAACTTTTGCATTGTGCTGTAAATCAAAATATAATGAATACTTGGTGACACAAAACCTGTTCAGTGTTTTTTGTATGTGGTAGTGCACCGCTCTGTCCAGCATGTGGCGCCCGAGAAGCCTCATTGGTTGATGCGCAGTGACGTCAGAGTGACTCTCGCCCATAGACTGAGCCCGGGTTTTTTTTTTTTTTTTTTTTTTAAGGCATGAAGAAATATCGTATTGCACCAGTGTTGTCCAGTGAATTCAGTTATTGTAAAATATCAGCTAAATGTTGACCCTCTTTGTTCTGTCTACACACAGATAAAATGACAACTCATCTTTTGGGACTGCACCTTTAACAAGACTTTTTGGTATGACCACAATCTCTAAACAGAAAATTAGATACTCAACTCAAACTTCAATTTATTTATTTAATTATTATTATGTCTTTTAATCAATTATTTTCTATTTCATTTTATTTTATTTTATTTCATTTTGCTGATGAGATGCCTGTCAAGAAAATGTAAATGTTATTAAAGTTATCTCTTTATTGACAAAATTACATATAAACCACACATATGGACGCACTAAAATACTGCACAAAATCCCAAAGCAGAGAAAACTAGAGCCTTGTGTAATGAATTTTATATGGAATTTATTTAATTTAACTTAGTTTGATTTTCAATCATTTATGTATTATTTTTATCTTCCCCGTGCATACTTTGCCCCGTTACTGTTTCGTAAGTTCGATCGTGTAAATAAAGTTTGAAAAAAAAAAAAAGAAAAAAAAAACCTTGGGCAGTGGTTTCAACATGGCGGCGGTGGATGTCATTGTGGACAACTTGTTGGCACTAAGGAGAATACCGGCTGTCCGACAACACTTCCACTGGATATTTTTAATCATTTCAGTCGTGGGGTCGGTTCTGAAGGAGCAGGACCTGGTTCCGGAGACGTATTTCAGCAGCAGCAGAAACGTCCTGAATGTGTAAGCAGTGCTACCCTGTTGTTAGCTTAACATGACCGGTTGATATTGAGCTCATGACCACGCCTGTAGCTCACTGGCAGGTGAACTGCTGACGACAGACAAGTGAAAGTACATTGTTCACAATTTTCCCGATTATTTTATGTAATGAAATTAGCGCCGAAGTGATGTAGGTCAAAGGTGAAACTGTGGCTGTGTTGGAGAGCAGTTTGAAGAAAGCAAATTCTTCTTCACGAAATTACTGTCTAACAAAAGATAAAGCTCCTAATCAAACGAGCTGAAATGATTAATCCATTGATCGATTTGACAGCAAAATGAATCAGCTGCTATTTTGATAACCGAGCAACCGTTTTTATTTAATCTTCAAGCAGAGATATAAAAATCTGTCATTTCTGGATCCAACTCCTTATGAGAGGATTTACTGCTTTTCTATTTCAAACAAATAATAAACTAAACAAATAATCGAGTAAATGATTGGCAGATTAATAGATGATGAAATAATAATTAGTTGCAGCTCTACAATCAAACCTAAGTTAACTCAGTAAAGACAGAGGTGTTTTAAGTAGATTAGTTCATTCTTTCTTTTGTTTCAGTTTGATCAAAGTGAACTTTGTCATTCAGATCATACAACAAGGAGTTGCTCCTGTCTCAATGTGAAAATCACTGACACAAGGGAGGCACAACAAACATTGCACAATGTCATAAAATCGTTTAGACAAATAGATAATCAACAATCGAATTATTGCACAATATGTTCACAATTTACAGTATGTGAACATTAACACTGAAGTATAGTAACAAAGTGCTGAAATAACTGAAGCATTGACTTATTACAGTGTAACAGCAAATAATTGGTGCTTAAAGTACAATTATGTAATATTGTGTGTGACCAGCAGCTTGTGGAGGGTAATGTTTGTAAATTTTATGTAAATGTTGCTGTATGAAGCACACTGCTGAATCATTTGCAGACTCTCCTCCACTTACTACATTACTGTAACTTTTACCCTTTTGAAAATATTTACATCCATGAATCCAAACAAGTCAAATCATTTCCCAAAAATCCACAATTTTCTGCTTCATAGATACTCCATCGTTGACAGACATCACATTCAGTGAGTGTAGTATTATATATTTGATCCACTAATTCACACTGAAAAATTATTGTTCTGCATTCTCAAATCACAGGTGTGATATTATCCTAATTTACATGGAGAAATATCATTCAAGATTTTAAAGCTGCTTCGGTTTTAAGTGGAATAAGACAAATATTTTCTCTTTGTGTCCTTATTATTTTGTCCATTTATTAATACATACAGTATTATTATATTATGTTATACATCTGATGCAGTATTTGAGAATGTGAATGTCCTGTTCTTCTTGCAGGTACTTGGTCAAAGTTTCCTGGATGTGGACATTGCTGCTGCTGACGCCCTTCCTCCTCCTCTCAAATTCCTCCCTCAGCAAGAGCGTGTCCTACCGGCGGCTGCTGTCTCTGGTGGTGGCATCAGCCGTCTGGTACATCTGCACAGAGATGTTCTTCTATATTGAGAACTTGACCGGCTCCTGTTATGAAAGTAGCACCATGGATGTTATCAACACGGAGTTCACATCCAAAGCCACCTGCAGGCATGCCGGTTTCCACTGGAATGGCTATGACATCTCAGGACACTCCTTCATCCTGGCCTACTCTGCTCTTTTAATCGTGGAGGAAACGGCTCCGATGGCCTCCCTGAAGACAGCTAGTCTGTCTGCACTGCCCAGGATGGTTCTCAACCTGCTGTACGTGGCCTTGAATCTGATTGTGATCATATGGGTGTGGATGTTTGCCTGCACCTCTGTTTACTTCCATGACAAATCTCAAAAGTTCCTAGGGACCATATGCGGCCTGTTGGGGTGGTATCTGACATATCGGGTTTGGTATCCAAAACCTTGGTCACCAGGACTCCCCCCTCAGCGTCACCCAAAAGAACAGAAACAACATGCCTAAGCTGCAGTCATACTTTCCTGTATGATATTGTTGCTAATATTGCAGCCATCCTCAAATCAACGCACTGCAGTTGATGTTATCTGTCTCCAGGTCCAAGCTGGCCACGCTATTTTAAGTTATTCCCTCCTCACAGAAAGGTCGGGCTTGCAGTTTCTCCGCAGTGTTTGGCAGCTGATGTTCCCAAAATGACTCTTGGTAATCTGAGACAAAAGCAAGACGCTGCTCTTCTGTTCAACCTTTAGCCTCTTTCCAACAGCCCCTGTGGCTCGCATGCTAGACAATAGTTTGTCTGCCAGTTTGTTGCCTTATAATGCAATCCGTTTTTAGAAATCTGAGTGGGAACACTAGAGATTGTTTACAGCTCCAGTTGTATAGCACTGATGACATGTATTTTTACAGACCAATGTACAGTAGATGTTCATTGTTTTTTTTTTGGAAACTAACTACAGAACAAAGTTAGACTTCAGTGTACAAGGTACATTTCATCCTACACATAGGATTTTAATGACCCGTCACATCTGGTTGTCATGTAAAGTTTGCTGGGAACATGTAGTACTTGAATAGTGGATATTAAGGTCATTTTAATGCCCCATCATGACTACACTAGTTGTTGGATAGCCCTGTGAGTGCCCATTATCATTATTAAAATCCTTTAAAGGATGAGGCTGGAAATATTCAGTATTTTACTTACGGCTGCATCTGGATTAATCATTTGGTCTATAAAACCAAACCTCTTGATTGGATAGTCAATTTAATATCAGGTAAGAAAAAAGAAAATTTAAAGTCTGGAACCAGAGAATGTCTGTTTGATTTTTGTCCTTGGATAAACACGCTTAAGCAATTAATCGCTGATTAAAGTAGTTTAAGCTCTACTTTTTCTCATTGTCAACAACTCCATGAGTCCACCAAAGCTATATTTATCTCAATAGCTAATTAAGTATTGCCAAGCTAATTCCTCTGTGCCATAGATCCATGAAATCTAATAAGAACACAGAAATGATGATCCTGGGTGCTGTCACCACCATCTCACCACCGCCATAAAAACCCACTAGAACACCAAATGTGTATTAATCCATGTCTGTTTGATTAATGTTTGTTAAAAACTACAAAGTCCAGTTGTTTCAGGAAATAATTTACTTTTTAAAGACTAAAGCTAATATCCAAGACTTGTCTTTAGTTTGAAGCAGTGGGCTTGAGATTGAAAGCTACAGATAGGGAAGGGAAGTTGTACAGTATTGAGAGACAGACTAACACATTGTTTGTTTTGGTGTTTTCATGGGGTTTGTTGACTGTAAGGATCATGTAGAATAACACCAGCCCTATCCTGTAATGGGGGATTTTAGGAAACTTTGGTATGAGTAAATAATAGCAGTATTTTTAACAATATTAATAACAGTGTGACAAGAATCAAATAACAGTTTTGTAGTGATGATGTGCATTTTCATGGCATGACAAATACACAGTTATAAGCTCTGTAGTTTAAGCACCACAGTGGGTTTTGGCAGAATAAAAACCAGGACCTGTATATTTAATTTTCATTATTTATTTGTTATTGATGGCAACTGAATAAATTAAGGCTTATGAACAAACATCATAAAAAGCACCGTAAATAAATGCATATAGAAATATAAAAAATAAAAAGTAAAAAATAAAAAAATACTATAGTGAAATATAATGGCCACAAATCACAACTAGGATTTCTCGACTTCAACTCTTTGTGTGATCCAAGAAGTACGGATCCAACCCCTCAGGCAGCAATGATTTCAGTCAGAAGCGGTGGAGTAACAAGTGTGCTTGAAGTAATCAAAATGTACCAAGCGTTTACAATGAGTGGCTGGTTATGATGCTCTTTTACATTTTTCACCCTCACAGTGTCATCTGCTCTTTGTCAGTTAACAAAATAAGTGATGTTTGAGCGTCAAAAATCCACAAAAATGACAATTACGCTAATTCTGTGATTAAATCTTTACACCCAAGTTTATTTAAGCTTTAGCTTACTTCAGTCTTTGAAAAAATCTAATATTCTTTTAATCTTGTCTTTTGTGCCTTTTACATCTCTGCTGCTCATGCAAGATTAGTTTGAACCCAAGTAACCTCCATGTCCTATAATATCCTGAATGTCTGTGCAGACATAACGGATTGAGTCGAGACAGTTAAATCTATATGGCTGTCCTGCATCATATCCACATCACACATGAAACTGGACACAATGAACTACATGTTTTACTCTTCCTCTTAATGAAAGTCAGATTTAATTATCAGATATAACACAGCAAGGCGATACTGCTATTAAAGGAGCATTGATCATTGTCTTTGGTTCAACGGAGTCTTCCACGGCTGCTAATCACCACCTGCAGAGACGACGTTTCTGTAGCAGGAGAAAACAGGGAGTATCCTGAATTACCACCCGAGGCTTGAGCTGTATACAGTTGAGAAAGAAACACTGTGATGTGAGTCCTAACTGCAAGAATGTCTCTTATAACCAGCCATGAAACCAAAAGCAGCTTACAACTCCAGCCAGTACCTCACATAATGAGTTAAACCTAAAGAGCGGCGCATGGTTCAGGAGCAGATTTGTAACATGTTAAACCCTGGAGGTCTGACTAAGACAAAAAAAGCAGAAAGGCTCCCATTAAGGGCGAACACAGAGTGTGGAGCGGGAAAAGTACACTGCATCAACAAACTGTGAGACAGCTGGCAAGGCTGGCTGAGGAGGGAAAGGGCTTTTTCCTTTTTCCTCATCACTCCTTTAGCCTTCAGATGAGTCAGCTTTTCCCTCTCCCCCTCCCTCTGTTCCCCTTATAAACCCTTTGAGCTCATTAAAAATTCAGCATGGTAAAATAAACGAGACAATGTATAATTAAAAATATCTATCTATATCTATGTAAAAACAATCTTGCATCTGTCAGGAGTTGGCAACAAACAAACAGCAGTAAAATATTGCTGAGGGACCATCTCCAACACACGGTACTGCGCAGGTGCTTCAAAGGTCACATTCAGCAACATTACAGTTTGAAATCTGTGGTTCTGTTTGGTAGTGATCATAAATTCTGCCTCTGGGGGAGACACAAAATCCTCAGTGTCCACCCGTCACGACACGGCTTACACAATAAGAGTACCCATGCAATGAAATATACATCCTAAACCTAACGCAACACTATTGTGCCATAGACGCAGAATTTACAATTTTTTTCCACCAAGTTCAGCCAAGTGTAACTTTTCAAACACCCAAGGCTCGTGACATCTGAACTCACGCTCAGCCACAAAGAGAGTGACAGTGGACCACTGTGTGCTGTGTGATCTGTGGTGCTCTAAATAAACGGACTCTGAGCGCACGTGTGTCTCTGTGTATGTGTTACTGTGTGTAGGGTGCACAGTTATTTAAAGGAATAGTCATTTGACATTTGGGGAAATATGCTCATTTGTTTTGTTGCTGAGAGTTAGATGAGAAGATTGATACCACTCTGTTGAATATGAAGCTACAGCCAGAGGGTTGCTGGGAGGCCTCAGCTTGTGAGCCTCTCATGTGATTTCTGAAAAACCCAGTGTGTCATTGAAAAATACTCAAGCTGCTCGTACTCTGTCTGTCTCAAACTTTCTGGAAGAAAAAAACACACACTTCATGTCGTGATTTCTCAGCCATGACGGGGCGAGGAAGGAGTCATGGCTTAAACTTCTCTCTCCACCTCTTTTTTCATCTTCCTCCAGGAGAGACTGTCTGAAAATGTGCTGTTAACCTTTAAAAGTCATCATGTCCACCCCCTCTCTATGACGCCCGGCTTTTCACCCCACGCTCTGGCCATTCAGAACAACTATAGCCACTTTTCCCTTCTGACATAGACAAAACGACTTTGGAGCTAGTTCTTATCTAATATAACCCAACCTTTATTCTTAATTCTGCTCTGAAGGTTTTTCCAGAATCCTAAAAGACTCTTTTCACCATCTGGACGAAAAACAGTTTGTCTGCTGCACCATAAAAACTGTTTTTACACCGTTTCCTCACCCAAACAAAGATGATGGACAGAAATTATACATCTCAATGCTCCATATGAATAATGTGAACCAAATTTTTAAATTTTATCAGTTATATTGGTGAATATTGATGTTTTAATAGAGGAAAGACGTGCAATTTTGATAATTTTAAAAAACAGGTAAAAACATTTTTTTTCCTTCATGCAACAGATTTTTTCCATCCAGATTAGTTGAGTCTGAGCGTTGTGGAAACACTCAGGGTAAACTGAGGCTAGCTGTTTCCCTCTTTATTTAGTCTTTATGCCAAGCTAACCAGCGGCTAATTCTAACTTCATACTTAATGTACAGATGTGATACCTTCAGAACAGCTGTTAAGTGTTAAAACACGTACAGTTATTTTTCTGAAAACATGAGGCTCAAATGGAAAGTTAGAGGCACTAACAACAGGGAGGCAACACCTGGCTCTGTGTAAAGGTAACAAACTCTGCCTACCAGAACCTAAGAAGCTCACAACCCATGTAAAACCAAAAATAAGTAATTCATTATTTTTACAATCTGGTTTTTGTACACATTAAACAAACGAGATATCATGTTAGTGAGCTTTAGAGGTGTTGGTGGGAGGTTCCCAGTCTTTCTGCTAAGCCAAGCTAAACTAACCATCTCCCGGCTGTAGTTTCATTTAGCATATACACATGAAGGTGGTATCAATTTTCTCATCTACATTTAAACAAAGTAGCAATTAGCAAATTTCCCAAAATGTCAAATTATTCCTTTATACTTTGCCTCCATCCTTTCATCACGTCATCTGGCAGTTTCTGGCAGCACAGCACTTATCAGAAAGTATTCGTCACGTACATGTTCCTGCGGCTTTACTGGTTAAACCTCAGGCAGATGGAGGAGTGAAGAGCAGGTATGAATAATGACTATAATAGTGGCATGCGAAGGTCAGTTAACCCCTGTTGGTGTTACTGTGTTTAACATTTCGTCTGGGTTTCTACTTTTAAGTTTTCGGTTTAAGTGCACCTGCCTCCAACAAAAGTTAAACGGGGACTCGCAGACACAAGAGCTGCGAGTTTCCAGAAATTAAAACTTGATGAAGGCCTTGATTACCAGAAAATGTGCTGTCAAGAATTTCTTATTATGGAATGTTTTAATATTTCTTTGTTCACCCAGGTAAGTAATAGTGTTCTCTATATAGATTCATTATGTTTTCCTGCAGTCATAAAACATTACAGAAAAGTTGAAACATCACACAAATACACAGACATTTAACACAACAAGAGGGCATTCACTACATGTATTTCTTTTTTAAAAACCAGTAGGCAAAGTAGCCCATCCCTCCCAGCGAGCCCATGAGAAAAGAGGCCCCGAAGAAGGACGGCGGCTTCTTTTTTACCATCCGGAAGGCGTTGGGTAGGACCGCGGAGAGGAGGGTCGTGTGGATGTCGCCCAAGACCTTGCGGAAAGCGTAGCGTTTTTGCACACGCACAAAAAAGGACTGCAGGTTGGGTCGGCTGCCGTCCTCCCAGTATTTCTTAGAAAGTCCCAAGAACTTGAGCCTGTGCAACAAGGCTCCGAGGCAGACATCAGCTAGTGTAAATTCAGGTCCACATAGCCACAACTCACACTTTTGACCTGCAGAAGAAAAATGAATATTCAATCAGGAGCGTTGTTGTTTTGGTGCCATTATGATAGAAGATAATCATTTGGACATACCTTGATACTCTAGTTTTCTTTTCTCCAGTTCAGCCTCCACCTGATCTAGAACCATGGCTAACTCTCCCAGAATTTTCTTCAGGTAGTTCACATTATCGTGGTCCAAGATTTTTGCCTGTCAACCATTTATAAAAAAAAACAAAAAACAAAACAAACTTTAGCCCCAAGAAGACAACTAGCATGCACAGCTGGAAATATAAAGTAATTATGTTGTTAAATGTTGACTACACTTTGCTCCAAGTACTTTAGAAAAGAGACAGATAATTTGTGACTCTCAGATTAAATTTTATAGACTAACCTCCCAGTACTTGCATGTAAAGTGATTTTGTATTTCAACACTAACACTGCATTAGATTAAAAAAGGCTGAAAATGACAGATGTGCTGCAGCCAAGCAGAAACAAACAAGAGCGTACAGCTGTGCCAGCAGCTCTGTGAGGCTGTCCTGAGACAGTGTTGCTTTGGGCTAAATGCTATCATTTGCATGCTAACATGCTGATGTTTCGCAGCTAATGTTTACCATGGGACTCAATTCCAATGCTCTCCCCTGAGCCCTGAACCATCACAGGCTTTTATCACCTGTGTTGTCAAACAATGTCTGAAGAAAAGTCACATTACTCGGATACAGAAATTTCTGTGGACAGCAAAGTGTAGAGCTAAGACCATATGGAGTTTAGTGAACTAGAAGGTTTGTTTGAACATGTGTGTTTATAATTAAACACTTGGTCATGAACTCAAGTGTTGGCCCACCTAGTGCCAGTCTAATGTAAGTATTGGATGACATTAGATGAAAAGCTAATGGGAACATGAATGTCTGTACCAAAGTTCATTACTATTCCTACAATATTTGTCGAGACATTTCACTCAAAACCACAAATATCAACCTTGTGGTGGCGCTAGATGAAAAATTACAGGATCACCAAAGTCGGTAGCTTCATCATTTGGAAACCACAAATGTCAATGTAATAAAAATGTACAATTTTTTATTACAATTCATCTTGAGATATTTCTGTCCAGGCCAAAGTCAGGGACCAAAAGGATGACTGACATTGGCACGGCTACAACCAGAGCACCGGCATGGCTAACAAAACAAGCTGGCGTGGGAGACACACTCATTCCCGTCTCATCGATTCTAAACCTCACATTTTTATAACACTGGTGAAACAGCTGTAACGTCTACTTTGTGATTTTTCAGCCATCGTGTCCAACACAATTTTTTTTCTTGCATTTTTCACTTTCTACCATTAGCAGAATGTGAAATGTGACGGTAAGAGATGGAGAAAATAGTAGTGCACCTGCCATTTTCTCCAGAGAATATGAACTGTATGTTCTACTGTATGTACTGTATGCTGCAGAGCTGAGTTTGTCTATCACAGAATATTAAACACTTAAGTCAAATTTACATTTCTGTGGCCCTAAATACAGTTCATGGATTTGCAATGTTTTCAGATACAAATTATAATGATAATATGTTATATTTAGGGAATATTATTCACTTTTCAGGTATTTGTATTAATGGTATTAATAATGTGATGGAAACTTCTTAATTTGCAACTTAAAAATTTAAAGTGCTAATTCAGGGGTTCATCACAAATTTGGGGGTTAATATATATATATTATATTTATATATATATATATATATTAATGATAATTAAATTAACATTACATACAGTGTGTATTAAGAGGTTTTAAAGGGGAAATCCCCTTTAAATTCCCTGGATTTTAACCTCATTATTAAGGAATTGTTTTGTATTATTTGTTACATTTGAGAGTTTCGTCTCTTGAACTATGAAAAAACATTCATGATAAATACCCTCATTATTGCAATCCAATCACATAAATGCACACAGACTCACCATGAGCTTCTTCTGCTTGGACAGGTACGGTTCTGTCAGCTGAGGCTCCTCATGGTCCAGCTTCATCAGCTCCGTCGCAGCGTTGGCCAGGTGTCCTGGAGTCACACACAAACACAGAGTCCTCTAAAGATATGTCTGTTGGGTTAAGAAAAAATGAGTGATGAAACTGATACATGTTAAAGTCTAAATTATGGAGTATCCTACTCTGCTGTACTGTCTGAAAAATATGTCAAATTTGTGGATTAATGTGTTAATAGTCCCCAACAAACGCATTATTTACTTTACTGTTTACTTGTTACTATCTGGCCTCTTTGGAAAATGTAAGTCTCTATTTGAGATTTGGTTCTCAAGATTTATATCTTCAGTAGAAAAAGAATTGTTGGTGTTGGTTTTTCCATGGCATTTTGTTGACAATAAAACTATAATATCACCAGTCCTATCTTTTAAAAGGAAAAAAAAAATCTACCTCATATTTGTACAGTCAGTTTTGTGGTTGAAACACATGATCAGTCTTCATTGTAGCTACACTGAAAATAGATGAACCCAGAAATATTCAACATGTGTTGGTTGTCGCTTGACAAGCGCTTCGGCCATTGCCGTGTTTACAAGACAAGAGGGTATAATACGCCCTCTGAGCGGCAATACATCTTCAGTGAAGATTGAAGGCTACAGTGAGTCGCTATCAGAAAGTGACGCGACGGACCCAGGCTAGCTGGTTAGCGTGCTAACTTCAGATTAAGAAAAGACGTGATAGAGACAAGAGTTAATACTGGTGTTGCTTTCCACCGCTGGAGACAGATCTTAGTGAGTAAAGGAATTAAGTTTGATGCTGAACTTGCAATATTTCTTCTAGACTGGTAAGTTAAAAGCTGTTAACGCTAACATTGGCTGTGTAGCAATAGCCAAACTTACAAATAGCTCCTTTAACACCAGAGTGAAAGATTAGTTTACATAAAACAACCATGAGTGGATAATTACACACAAACATCACTGATGTCTGTTTCCATTTAATACTCCATCAGGTCAATTTTATAGATACAACACAGACTGAAGAGGGTTTTACTGGATAATTAAGTCTGCTGCTGGATTTCATCGGGTCCAGCCCATTGCTTTGATTTACATGCGGAGGCCATTACCTGATGGAAAGAGCACTACAGTTCGGACTGGGAGGCCTGATATCTGCAGTTGAGATATATAAACCTGGCATCACTACACTGTGCTGTGTTAAGGGTTTTTTGGTATTGAGCAGCATCAAATTACACAGTATGCTAATCACGTCGTGCACATAAAAACAGGGATTTGTTATCCAATGATGTAGAAAATGCTGTAAGGAAGATGAATAGCTTTGCATTCATAATGCCTGTGTGTTGTTTTTGCTTTGGGAGACCAGTTGGTCCCAAAGTTGAAGCTTGTTCACCTTTAGTGCTCGTAAGTGTTCAGAATAATAAGTTCAACACACTGAAATCTATTTAGCCCACATTGTTTATAGAAAATAAAAAACACATAAGGACAAAGGGGCAAAAACAATAGCATCTACTTTTCATGTTGTCAATCTACACATTCTTCACATCAACATATTTATTGTTGTCTGCTGCCAAGAAAATGTCTATTTAAGTGTAAAGAATAAAAGCTTTAACATGCACAGTATATAACACACCATATGCATCTGTAAAACCTACATGCATTCATCCACAATATCAAAACGTGTGTGAGCATGCAGTGTGAAATGCAGCAGAACACACTGTCACATGAAATCATTCCGTATCAATGCACAATACGAGGCGTGTGTGTTCACTGAACACTGGGTTACACACTTACACACACATTTACACACTCTGTTGCGAGAAACCAGTGATGAAAGTAACAAACTACATTAACTCAAGTACTGTTCTTGAGTTAATGTATTATTTCCATTTTCTGCTGCTTTATACTTTTACTCCACTAGATTTCAGAGGGAAATGTTCAAAGTTTAACTCCACTACATTTATCTGACAGCAACAGATTTCATATTAAAAAAAACATGATAAACCAAAAAATACAACATATTGTTAAATATTAAACCAATGATTTCCAACCTTTTTGGCCTGAGACCCTTTATATAAATTCATTTAAACATCCCATACTGTATAAAATGAGATGTCCATGTGTTGTTTGATTATAAATCAGGTCTAGGTTCTATATTAATACTGTGAAAGTATCAAAGCGCTCAGTCCACAGAGAAATGCACACAGCCTGTATTCTGAAACTGAGCCTTACAATGAGCCGTCAGGACTTCTGTAACTTTGTGATGTCATAACAAAGCAGTCACAGCTCTCTAAAACAGTTTCAACAAAAACTGAAGAATACTGATGGACTGTTGTATTAGACTGCGTTAGTTTCAGCCAGGTGTAGCTACCGAATAAAGTGGCAACTGGGTGTGTATAACATCCACTGTGTTTGTCTTGTAATCAATGCAGAATTATAAACAGTCATGCCTACACAGTACGGTGAGCTGGCTTCACTTACTACGTATTTCTGCGGTGGCGTACTTTGGGATCATAGAGTCAATGGTGAGCTCTGGATGGAGGATGCAGCCGTGTGTGTAAGCGTCCATGGGCAGACCATCCAGTAGCTGACGGTACTGCTGCACACGATCGTGGAGAGGCGAGTCTGCATCCGGAATAAGCTGAGCCACTGTGTCTGCGGGCAAGACGGCGACATGGAAACACGAATACAGAGAGAAAGCATTTTAATGTGGCTCAGAACTGTGTCATGGATCTGAGGACAAACACAGGGACATAAAAAACACTGATACAGATGCAACAAAATGTGTACGCACAACCATTTAAAAAATATCTAAAGCACAATTACACACTGGTATTCTTATATTTTCATTAACTTCCCAGAACACCAGAGGTTTCTTAGCAACCAAGCTTAGTGCTACATAACCCCAAAATAACACTATACTCCCTGCACCAGCCGTCAGATAGACACACAGAATGGTAACCTGGTAACAGATGACACCCCTCACTCTTTAACACACCAGCGGTCATGTTCCAGAAAGCCTGATGTGAAAAAACATTTTGGAGCCTAAGACGCTTCTTTGAATTTATTTTAAATACAAAACGTGACTGGTTTAAGCTAAACAAACTGTATGACTCCGTGAGATGAAATTTATTTGCCTTAAAATGATGATCCTGTAACAGGTGTGTGAAGGACTCAAATGCAGCACAAGCAGTGTGTGGTGACCTTTATTGGCCATATGAGCCAGCACAGGATCATACAGACAAAGGCCAAAGTCACAAAAGCAGTTCTCCAGATCAGGGACAGAAGGCTGAAGTGATTACCATGAAGAAAAGCAAAGAACAATCTGGCAAAGAGGAACTGGAAGTCTGGGGTTTGTGGACCAGGTGAGAGTAATCAGGGGCAGGTGTGTGACCAGGTGAATGGAATTGGCTTGATGAGGTGGGCGTGGCTAATACAGGGAGGTGCAGGAGAACGGTGTGAATGGAAAATTACTGACTGGGAGCCTGATGACAGGGGATGCTGAAGTGAAGCAGGTGACCTGAGATGCAGAACTGTGACAGACCCAGATGAACAAAATCATCAATGTGAATAGTAACACGAAACCACAAAACACACAGGTTGAGTAGGCAACACTGTAAGCTTGCTGTGCCAGATACTATAGGAATATAGTTCAACAGTATAGGAAATGCATATATTTGCTTCCTTGCAGTGAACTGCAGAGAAGATGAATACCACTCATTCAGTATCTGTCCGTTAAGGGAGTTCAGTGTTTTAATATTGCATTTCCATAAAGTTGTGGGACTCACAAGAGAAAGATTTAGGGGGAAAAGAGTCAATATTCTTGCAGCAAAGGCTGAGATATACCACTTTATAGTCAAGTTATAGTCAAACTCAATTTGTCATTTTTTGGGCAACACACAGTTTTTTTTTGGCAAGACACAGTAACTCACTGGAGTTTCTGCTGGTTCCTGACAACATAGATCCAATAAATAGTCAGGTACATAAACCCCTACTCTTACTTGCTCATTGAGAAATCTGGATCAGGCCTTGTGCCCCGGTAAAAAAGCAGTGCGTATCAAGATGGTTTGCAGAGGAAACATTGGAGAGACTCAGCCACGTTTGAGCATCATTCAGACCCAAACTCAGGAGTTTATGAGGAGTTTATTGGGCACCCAAATCGGCAACTACAAGACTTTCGACAAGTTGATGAAAACAGCAGCACAATGTTTCCTTTTGTCCATTAGAAACAATGTCGTTTGCAACTAATGTAACAGCAGAGATTGTACTACTTCAGAGGTGCTGGTAAGGTGGTGGTAAGAGGATATTGTTACCTTAAGACAGAACCGAGCTAGCTGTTTCCACCTGTCTCTATACTCAGCTATGCTAACCTCCTGCTGGCTTCAGGTAGGCCTACATATTTAATAGACAGATATGAGAGTGGCATCGATGTCTCATATAACTTAACTTCTGTTTACTCCTTTAACTACTCCTTTAAAAAAGTGCTATTATTCCACTTTGCTGCCCTAATTCTTACGGCTGGCTACGTGCCACGTGGCTGGGGGGGGCAGTGTTCAACATAATGACCTGCTGCTGAAATTTTGTATTAAGAGTGAGGAAAGTTAGCAGACCACAGAGCGCTTTTATCTCTGTGCAGGGTCACAGCCAGCTAAACGCAGGGACGGCATCGCTGACAAAACAGAGATAGTCAGTTGGCCGCTTGAGGACGTTCAGGCCAAAGACGAAGCTCGAGGAGGGTGGAGCTGCACCTGGCAGAGCTCCAGAGAGCTGAGTAATCAGTCCCAGGACCGACATGCCGACCTGAGCATGCCAAGCAGCGGTGCTGTAGGTGGTCTGTTGCAGCACTGTGGTGGAAATATTACATCAGCAAGTAAAGGCCAAAGCCATCCGAAAAACAACCTCCAGCTGGTCTTGGACACAGGGGTGCACATTCAGTTTTAACGTGACGGAATAAAAGGGTACCTGAGACCTTGATTGTTCTCAGTCAACAAACAGCTTTCACACTGCGAGAGCCTCCTGCTGCATCTCAACGACACTGTAAAGTAGTTTGAATTGGCACCACGCTGCACTGCGCTGGTGTAAGAGTCGCTTTTTGGAGACATCTGCACTTTCCAGGCCAGCTGCAGCCCATGTTGCCAGCATTCATTAGGGATTTAGACACAGAGAGAAAGCATGTCTGTAAGACTTATCCCCCATGACTGACTTCTGGCTAAAAGCATGTCCAGCGCAAGGTCTAGTTTTGAAACATGTGCCGGAGTTGTTTAACCTTCAGCAGAAAAAGACACCGTAACTGAACTATTATAGTATACTCTGGAAAACTGACTGATTTTTACAGTTGCAGATTTGAGTATTTTGAGTTTCACATTAATTTGTTCCAAAACAAATTAATGCAATGACCTGCATCCAGCACAGTGTCAAAGAGCTAAAAATGAATTGTTGTGAATGAGAGAAGGACATCAAACACCAGGGACTGGTTTCTGCCTCCTAGCCTTTCATTACTGAGCGAGCAGTGAACCACATCGTCTCTCTCAAGCCCTCAAGCATCGCTGCTCTGAAAGAGTGACCACTAACTAAACTAAGACGAGGGAGATCTCCAGTTATTAGCCAGCTTCCCTCAAGCCTTTACTGGTTTGTGACCCCCAGGACATTACATAACAGTATAATGTCTAAACTGATGATACTATAGGAAACGCAACCCACTGATACTATAACACACAGGATTAAGTGTAATCATCTTAACTCTGCAAAGGCAGACGTGCTACTGCCTCAGAATGCACATTTCACATCTTGACACATCTTTTGCATAATCATCCATCATATTTGCATAGCTGCTGGTGTCGTTATTTACTTATTTACTTATTGGGCTCAGTGTTTTTGTGATAATTCCTTGTTCTTTCATTAAATTCTCTCCCTCGTGTTTGTTTCTGTTTACCACAAATTTCCCCCAAGGGATCATTGGAGTTTTGTGTAATTTAATCAGAGGAGTTCATCTCAGTGACATTGGTGCAAAGACGTCGTTGCAACAACAGCACAGTACACACTGACACACACTGTACAAGGACGACAGATGGCCTCTTCCAATTGTCTTCGCTGTCCCAATCTTCACACGCCGCCTGTTACTTTCTGTTTCTCTAACTTAGCAACAAGACAAACCAGGCAACCGTACCAGGGCCCTAAACCCCAGAGGGCCCCAGCCCAGAGAGCCCTTGGTTAAATGTACGTGACTTGATTTGCAGTAAATTAATTAACTGCAAAGACCTGCATAGTTACCACAAAGAGGAGCCCTGAATCAAATCGAGATTGTAGATTTATTTTTTAGATGATATTGTGCTCATAAGTCGAAAACACTCTGGCTGCCTTATTTTAAAAGTGGTCTTAAATAAGAGCTTTATGGCAACATGAATGATATTGTGTTGTAGAAAACACAACAGCTCGTATTGCAGTGTAGAGCTAATTAAAAACTTAAAAAATGAGGATCAAACTGTTATTTCATTCTAAGTAGTGATCTTATACTCTTCACATGCAGATTAGATGTCCCCTTAACGCCTCACATGCAGCCTCTCAGTGGACGCTAGCTACAGCAACATTATCAGGGGTTCCACTTAGGGGGGTTTGGGGCAGTGGCAGTGCACTGTATAGTGTCTTTCTGGGAGGTTTAGGGGTGGGGGTTTCGTTGTCAGTGCAAAATGTGCCAATATGAGGGGCCATCAGGGGCCCCTTTCCCCCTTTTTTAATGTAACCTGTGACCCAACAAAACTAATGTTGATAGTTGCTGATATGCTCCTTGGCTTAGGATGTAATGCTGTTCATAAATGCTAATCATTGCAGCAGAAAAACACTCCTTACACTCCTGTGTGTTTAGCTTTGTAAAGACTTTTTTTTAAAAACAGCACCATCCAGCCCTTTAAGTGTCATGTACTTCTCTTTCTACAGTTCCTTTCACAACACTTCACCCTGTAGTCTTAGATATAATCTGTCAACTAAAATCAAAGTCTAAAGTGAAGAGAAAAAAAGAGATACAGCATCATTACATAGGAACCACATCACGAATGTACCATACCTCCCACAAAGTTTTTCTCCAGGTAATCTATAATCTGGTTGTAGTCACTGATGATGGTGTCGCCGTGGAGGAAGACGGGCACCTCCTCGCCCAGGTTCAGCCTCATGAACCAGGGCTCCTTGTGCTCCTGCAGCGGCAAGCTCACATCCCTCTCCTCGCAGACCAGACCCTTCTCATTAATGACTAGACGTACCTGCAATTACAAGCATATGTTTAGATTTATGTCTGAGGAGGTGGATGACGCTGCATGTCAAAGCTACCAACTGTTGCTCTCTTAGCTGCAGATTGTCACAGCAGCACGACAGCAGCTTCTGGCTGATGAGAAAGAAAGACAAGATGTTGACAGGCAATAATTTGTTCCAGGATCTCAAACCAAAAAAAGTAAGAGGAAAGAATTTGTGTAGAGATAAACACACCACACACCTTTTTTTATATAATTAATCACAAAACATGTTAATGTATGTATAAATAGTATGCACAGGGTGAACTGGGAGACATTTTGTTGTTGTAAAATACAAAAACAGAAAGAAGACTGATGAACTGTTTTATCTGAACAAATCTCACAAACATCATCCTCTGCTGTTGAAAGGACTTATGTCAGTTTTACCAAAGCAAAGCAGACTGGCTAAGAGCTTCATTTCTTAGTTAATGACATAAAACAAAGATAATCTTTGTGTTGTATAAAACAAATAGCCTTCGCTGAATTGTTTGTGTGGTATTTTACAGCGTGCAAAAGTTTGAGTAAAAACCATCCTGAACAGTCAGGATCAATTGCTTGCGGGATGAAGGATAAGCCGAGGTCCATGGAGAGCTATTAGTGGGAATAAGATTAATGAAAGGAGATGACACATGGGGTATAAAGCGACACATTTGGCCGCTGAGGAAGAAGAGCAATATGGGAGTTTTTTTGAACATGGAAAGACATTGTGTAATGGAATAAAGCTGAATGATTTAGTAACACAAGCACAGTAATTACAACAGGACCACTGGTTTGAACAGCAGGAACAAATCTGTGAATGCAGCTGCAACGTCAAAGAAGAAAAAAAAAAGACTTTTTATATCGCCATCAGTGACACTGCTTCACGTTAAATCCAGGATTTCTATATAAAACTCTCAGATATTTCAGTCTAACAGCGCTGAGGTGTCCCTCAGTGACGCCCACAATAACGCAGTCACTGTTGCAACACTGACTTTGTTATATAATAATATTAGTCACTCCTTAGTAAAGATGCCAAGTAGTTCAGCTGCCAGGGAGGCACAAACATACTCCTTTTACTTAATAATATACGGTAACAGCTGCTGCCAGGGAGGCATGTTGCTGCTGTGTTTGCTGTTAACAGTGGTGCTCTGAGGTATTTGTACTTTAAGTATTTCCATTTAATGCTACTGTATATTACATTTCAAAAGGGAAATATTGCACTCCACTACATTTATTTCACAGCTGTCGTTTGGATTTTACATACAAAATATATGATGAATTAATACTATATAATGCATTTTATAGATTAAACTTCACAACATACATATAAAGAGGTTAAATTTGATCCATCTGAACCAGCTACAACATTGAATGCTGCTTATTAATGCCCCAACATTAACTTAATTCTAATAATACTTATAGTAAGAATCAGTGGTTCCCAACCTTTTTGACTTATGAGCTCTTACAGTAAAGCAGTGTCTGCTAGCTGTTAGCATTTCCACCAGGGAGACATTTCTCTACTAAACTTGGTTGAACCTCAAAGAGGACTCGCCAATATTTCAGAAACACAAAAGTCAAAGTCAAGAGAACAGTCCAAAAAATGTATATAAACTTGTGCAGCTAAAGTTTATTTTTCCTTCTTTTCTGCCACATTACTCTTGTCACGACCCTTCAGATTAATCTTATGACTCTTTGAAGGACCAGACCCCCTGGTTGGGAACTACTAGATTATACTACCCTACTGTAACTGACAGTGTATATACAATGCAGTAGCTCCACCTGACCATCAACAATAAATGCTGCTTATGCATTAATGCATCAGGACTAATAACAATGTAATATATGATAATATATTATCATTTTTTTCTGAATGAGTACTGTTACTTCCAGTACTTGAAGTACATTTACTGCTAATACTTCTAAATTATTTGTATTTTACTTCAGTCAAATATTGGACTACTTCTTCCATCCCTGACTGTTATTGAAAACAACATGATAATTGACTGGTCTCACAACACATGATGCCTTCCACACAGACAGAAACCAGCGCTGTTACAGTCTCAGAGAGGCCGTACTGAAGGTGTTAATCTCTAACCTGCAGACCTTGAGGTTGCCAGAGCTGTATCGATCTGTGAGGCTGTTCTCTAAATGTGCCGTTACTTCAGGGTATCGTGCTCCATCTGTCTCTATCCTTATCATATCTGTTGTGTTCACAGTGCACCACTCAGGTGAGCTAGATGAATTTACTGTATCGCCACGTTGTCATGAAGCATTAGAAACACATAGAAAGGGAGGACAGTGTTGAGCAAGAGGAGTTGAATGGTATAGCTTCCCTCTTTCCTCAGGAACTTGCTGAGGCAAACAAAGACTTGTAAATAATCCCCTGAACCTCTGATGACGATGGTGTCTTCACAGAGATAACGATTGTTGATCTGTAGGAGAGGAAACTCATTTGCCATTACCACTTGCTCACTGTATTTACATTAGGAGTAATTTTTGTCTTTTTAGAGACAGAAAAGGTGTTTTGCAAGTCACGAAAGATTGACTAAATATAACACTCATCTTTTAAGATGCTGCAGAGAGATTTTGGCCAATCAAATTGCAAGCATTTGTGTTATATTAAGTCACAAAATATGCAGCAGAGTTCTGGTGCAGTGGACAAACTAGTGCTCGGCCTCTTAATCTCGTAAAAGCCGTCCCCCAAAATGCCATTTAAAGCACACACCAGCTTGCATAACAACAAATGTCATTCACCATCGTACAAATACAGTATAATCAGGATTGCTGTGCAAATTTAGTGCAGTAATTTTGCTGAAGTCCATGTGTATTGTCATTCACACATAATGGTGGAGGCACTTGAGCTACTCCAGGTCCAGGATTGAGGTGGTAATAATGACAGTGAGCCTGGTGTTAACCCTCTGCTGAGTGACAAGCGGCACAATCAGCAGCTCCCGACTTCAGTGGCCATGAGCCAACAACTGAGCCTCAGAACTGACGTACCGACCTGAGTCTGAGCATCAACTCAAGGTTGTTGGTCTACAGTGGGGAGGAATGTACTCTAACGCCTTCAGTTCATAGTAGTGTTACAGCTGTTGCTGAATACATTCTGGGCAATATGCAGACATCTGTGTCCTGTGAGGCATGCACCTAGGCATGTCTCATAATGAGAAAATTTACCAATCACATAGTCTGAAGTGCAAGCAGACAGAAACTGACTAAGACTTAAGTTGAAGATTATTTTAATGATCCATTTATCTGCCAGTTATCTGTTTGATTAACTGATTCATTGTTTGGTCTTTAAAATGTCATCAACGTGCTCGTTTTGTCTGATTAGTCTTCCAAAACCAGAAGACATTCATTTCATTATCACATAAGATGAAAACTCAGACTTTCCAATTATTTCCCTGTTGATCGATGAATCAACAAACTGTTCAGGCTCTAAATCACCTAAATAAAAATGTAAATCATGAGAGTGTAACCAATGTTTACACATTAGGCACACGTGGCGGTCAGTGACCAAAAGTTGATGTGCCAATTGTCATTTCATAACAGTGAATGTGCACTTTTTCAAAGGGTTGCTCTGTCATTTTAGTACCAAACTTCCATAAATTTGAAGAACTAACAAGAGTTCGATTTTTAAAAAGAAACAGAAAGAGAGGAAGAGATATTCACACTTTTACTGCCTATGGGTCAGGTTTATTGCCCAGAGTTTATTATGACCATACAGGCCATAGAAGTTTTCATATCATCATCTACATCTAAAAATGAATCAGACTTTTACTTCCAGAACCAAGGGTCCTCCGAAATCCTCATCAAGGTCTGAATGTGGACCTCGAATCTGGGGATCCCAGGTCTGTGAGCCAATGGGAAGAAAGTAGGGCCCCCAGACATGAGATGCACAACTGTTAGCTGTATAAAACCACGTGGAACAGATTGTAATATAATATATCCTCCGGAATAACTGAAAACGTAAATCTCTCATGTGTTGTTAGTGACAGTGTTTGCTAACATTAAAATGCTTAAGTTAGATAACCGTCTTTGTAAAGAACTATATCTGTCCAGGAACACCTGAACATTTCTCTGTTTTTGTGGCATTCTTGGATCCTTATTTCACTTATAGAATCTTTTACACATAAGTTACTGTGAGTTACCCTCTCAATCTGTGTAAAAAAAAAAAAAGAGTTAAATTAACAACATAAGTGGTAGCCTATTTGTTTTTATACTTTTGTGGAAGATAAGGACCTCATGTTTAGGGCCTCTACTGTTTGTCTATTGGCTCACAGACTTGGGGTCCCCTGACGTGGGGTCCGCAGTTCAGATCAGAATTCATGTGGTTTTTTTGAACATCTCACTTCTGTGAGCGTGCACATAACGTCTGTTGTCAGCATTCAGTCTCAGCACAACAATAAACATGAGGAGAGAAGCTACGACTTTAGCCTTTTGTCACCTTCTGTTGACTGTCGTTATTTATGTACACATGCGGCTCACATTTCAGTTAAATCTGTACATGTGTGGCAGTTTAAGACCTCAACTATGTTCACACCAGAGCCGGATATATGCTACTTATAAACATCATTTTGAACCTTGAACAAAGAAAGATCGGATCTGACTAAAAAAAATCCAAACTGAGCATTAAGCTCTGTAATGTTAAAATAGCCAAAGTCTCCAAACCCAAGCTGTGATAACCCTGATGACACCACAGGGGTTGTTTCCTCAGACTTGACAAAGCTGCTCCAGAGCCACAGAAAACATTATACAGCTGTTTTCACAGGCTGGGTCGTACTCCCAATTACTAGTGAACTGATCTTTATGTGCAAAGGAAGAGAAGTGGCCCTTTAATATATGCTACATACTGTATTGGGAAGTAAGGCCCTGTTGATCATACTTAAGCATAGAAAGCCTTCTTGGTGGAGCTTTGTACAGGTTGTTATGAATTCTAATAATGTCTTTTTTGAGTTTTAAATAGCCAAAAGACAACATTTTGATTATCTTCCTCCCATATTGATATAGTACGAAGGCGCAGGTTATTGTCTGCCAAGGTAATTAAAGGTAGGACTTAAAGAAGGCATAGAAATTACAGCATATGGTATGATTCCGCATGCAGAGGGGGAAGGATGGCCTTTGGTTTGTTTTGCACATCATTTTAATCAATTATTTAGGATGTCATGTGTCAGAGCACATAGGTTGTAACCACATTCAGCAGCGACAAGGAGATAAAACAGCTTCAACATGTCAATAAAAGGAGAAAGCTGATGAGATATGAGGGGTGATTGATCACCAATCCTGCTTTATATCAAGGAAATGAGCCCCATGCTGCAGCGCTTTTCTAAACGTCTCAGCTGGGAGATCTGCCCAGCTGCAGGATCGTATTCATATTCCGGAGGTATGTGCAGGAATAAACATGCACAATAAAAAAAAACCATGCTTTGATCATAATGAAAAAAAACAAACACTGGGAGCTCCACGCTGGAGCATCGTGTCATGCAAAGAGACGTGGAGCCAGCTCCATTTTCAAGCTCTGCTTTCTGTTTTTTTTTTTTTTTTTTACCTTTTGGGAGGTGAACGACTGCGTCCAGTGGTACAAAACGAGCCTGTCTTTATTGAAGGGTTTGGGCTCTGCCGTCGGTTCTTCGCACTCCTCCCCGTCTGTGATTTTGCCGTCTTCATCCATGGCTGAGATGGGCCACCAGCTACAGTTGGTGGGGGTAACATGGTTGGAAGACGCCATGACAGAGCGTTTTGTGCGTGTGGAGGAGAGGAGCGAGGAGGGAGAGAAGAGAGGAGAGAGAGAGGAGAGAGAGAGAGGGAGAGAGAGGGAGAGAGAGAGAGAGAGAGAGAGAGGGAGAGAGAGGGGGGATTTCAGCAGCTCGAGCTCAGCACCATCGCTTCACGCGAACAGCAGCATCCGTCAGTTTTCGGACAGCTCCGGTGCTGAAATCGGCTTCACCTCGGAATGAAAACAGAGATTTAAAAAAACAAAACAAAAAAAAAACACACAACTGCACGCAGCCTAATTCACATGCAAACAGAGAGCCACTTACTCGTTACTCGAGCATGCCGCTTGCACTTACAATTAAATCAATGTGTAACCGTATTACATCACATGATGAGCCACGCACAAACATGCGCGGTGGAAACGCGCTTAGGGAGCGTTAACAGTGGAAGGTCAACCGGCTCCTGTAAGGACATGGAGGCTGTGGACCACAGGATAGTGTCAGGGTTATAACCGAAAAACAAAATAAATAAATAAAAGGAAACATCTAGGTATCCCCAACACCTGTGTATAATTTCTGAGTGGTAAATTACTCAAGTTCAGAGACACTTATAGGCTAGGTATTTCCACTTTTTGCAGCTTTATCCTGCTATATTTCAGATGGCAATATACTGTACTTTTTCTCCAACACAATTATCTGCTAGCTGTTGTTATTGGTGGCAATTTTTCTATTATATTTTACATTTAAAAAAGCATATGATGAGCTTTTAATACATAATACATTATTATACTGTGGCCTATGTTAATCCAGTGGTTGCCAACCTTTCTTTTCATTTAAATAATTGAGGCTGAAAATGGTCAAAATATCCAATACTTAACAAAAAGTCAAAAGAAAAAAATAATATTGCAAAACCTTGTTTTTTCTCCTAAGATTTTTCTTGTGACTCAGTGGAGGGACCCAACCCCAAGGTTGGGAACCTACTGCATTAACTACTATACTGAGACAAATTAAAGGAAAAACGAACATAAAGTGTCATAGTAAGGTTTTGGGTCATCACGAGTTGCCAGAATAGCTTGCAGTACAACTGAATGGACTTTATGTTTCCTGACGAAAACAGTTGAAATGTGTGTAAATCCATGTGTCTTAAATGTATAGTGTGAGAACCGTCTTTAGAGGGACACCACAGACATCAGAGAAGTTGTCTAATCAACTTATCTGAACCAGCTGTTTGTGTCCCACTGCACTCAGTTGTTGTCATGGTGATTTTAATTGCTTAGTTGCTACTGAATGAGACATGATTAGCCAATTCAGGGGCCGCATCCTTCGTAGGACGCGGTCTATGAAGGTGTGGCCCTTCCCAGCCTTCGTAGACCATGACGGTTGAACTGAAATGAGCGGGTCTGGTCTACAGAGGATTAACGTTGGATGAATTATAACGCTGTGTGTCACCAGCTGTGCCTGCCGTTGCCGCTGCATTGGCAAACACGTAACTTAGTTTCACAAAAAATTGAAGTTTTAAGGCCCCTGGCTTTAATAGTTGTAACGTTAGCTGTTGAACTACGCTGAAAGACAATACTTACATTGAACAGTGGCTCTCTGTCAACGCTGTTTGGTTTCATTACCGGCACGCAATGAATCTTGGGATAGGTTGGGCCACGAAGTTGCCCAGGAAAAGAAGGACCCTTCGACATGTGATAGTCTAGTCGCGCTGCTGTGATCGCAGAAAAAATAAAAGCTAGTGACAAACAGTTAGCTTGCGCAAGCTAAAAGGCGGCTAGCTTGTCCCCAGGGGGGCAGCAAGCTAGATGCCGGGGTTCAAGATGGACGCCGGCGCTGGCTTGAAAACCTACTACACTTTTCAGGATCTGCAGCAGAGATTAAGGTAAGGGAACCACATACCCTCTGATTCGACTCTGCTTTGTAATTGAATTATCACTGTCCAATCAGATTCAGGTTTTTTTTTTTTTTTTTTTAAAAAAGGTCAAAATTTCTACTTTAACTTCAGTGTCCACACACTGTGTGGGAACTTTGAGCAAGTTTTACACAGTTTTCTGCTCTGACAACAACCCAACAACCAAGCCTGAAGTACACCACAAGTGCCAGTCTTGACCCATTACCAGTTCTGGCGATGGGCCAGAATGGCTTTTGTTAAATTCCTGCTATTTTCCTGCCAAACCTTCGTAGATGCAGAATAGAATCAGGTTGTATAGAGAAATAACTACTTTTGTATTAAATGACACATTTACACAACATAGGTACTGAGATTTTCATGGACACACAGAGTAAACCAAACATGAGGCAAGAGTCCAGAAAAACATCAGCTGCAAGTGAAACAAAGTCCATAAACTTAAACTGCAAGTGAAGGAATGTTAAAAGTTCATAAACTGCAGCAAGAATCCATAAACTGCAGCAGTAAGTGAATGTAAAAGACCAACAGCAGCTGTGCATGAAGTTAATCAAGTTACTAATAAATCACAGAACATTCATTTCAGTTCATTCATTAGAAGGTAATTTTGACTATGTAAAAAGCTTAAATGTCACACGGTATTCCTGTGCCCAAGAACAGTTAAGCCCATAGTTGGAAACATGCATCACTCTGTCCTAAAGCAATATAATAAGCAAACAGCTATTAGCCTACTCCCCACCACCTGTGAACTTACCTAAAATCAGTGGAGCAATCATCTCGCGACCCCTCACATTCATGTTGTGACCGTTTGGAGGGGTCTGACCCCTAAGTTGGGAACCACTGGGCAAAACTACTAAACATAGTATTTAAAAATAAATCAACGAGCTACAGCAGTTAAATACCATTTGATATATTAGTATCATCAATCTAATAATTTATATGATAATGTATCACTCACAGGAGTAGGCTACTTTTAAAACTTTTTATTTACAATAATACTCACTTCTATTTATAAAGCACCTTTTAAAAACAAATAAATAAAAGTAGAAATACATAAATAAATGCAGAAATTAATGAATGAATAAATCAATCAGTGTAGAAATGCATAAATAAATGAATTAGTAAATGTAGAAATACAGAAATAAATGAATTAGTAAATGTAGAAATACAGAAATAAATAAATAAATGCATGTAGGAATAAAAAATAAATACATGTAGAATTACAGAAATAGCATTTTTTATTACCAAAATATTTTTATTTTATATTTGTACTTAATTATTAATTCAAAAATTTATTAATTATGTCATTTTCTGTCCTAATAAATAGAACCTGTTTGATCCAGAAACTGGCTCTCGGCTGACCAATGATGAAAATATCATCACTCAGTAAGTCAGTCAGTAAGTCAGTAAGTCAGTCAGTCAGTCAGTCAGTCAGTCGTTCAGTCAGTCAGGGACATTCCAGATTATAGGTCTGGCCCAGCTGTTGTGGTCCAACCAAAAAGTTTAGCACAAGAGGAAACTGAAACAACTATGATGCAGATACCAACATTTTCCAGTAGAGGGAGTGAAAAGAGAGGAATACACTACAGTACCAATATCTGCCATAATGAAAAGCATTCATCTCAGATGCTTGTGCATTCATTTGGATGCATTTTAAAAAGTGATAGAGTGGATATATTAGCAGTAAACTCAAATTATAAATAGTTTTCTGTAGTTATTCAGCAAACTGTAACTCTAACTACTATTAATTAAAATAACAATATCCTATTGATGAATAATTCAACTTTTATTGTAAAACAATAGGTATATACCATACTAATAACACAACATTACTATATACCATATGAGATATATGAGGTACATAGGCCTACATATACTGTTATATAAAGTTATTAAAACCTGAACCGCATACACACATGCTGTCATTTTTTTCTGGAATAGTGTAGAAATATTATCCTGATCCCATTTGGCATTGTGCCATAAGATCTATGAGAAGCATACAGGCCATACAGGGACATGAATGGGAAATTACACAGATTTATCTACTTTCTGATATCTCGTTCATCAAGCTTAATAGGCTATTAGATAGTAATTGTGTTCAAACTGCATTAACTGAGCGTATTGTGTGTGTGCAGGGTAAAACCTATAGAGAGCGGACTCTTGAATGGCATTTACTTCAGTCCCGAAGTGGCAAGACTCTGGCATGGCTCCTTGCAGGCAGCAGAGTAAGGATTGGGTTGTATTTTTGGAAGGGTGTGTGTGGATTGGTCGCCTTGTTAGGTCCTGCTAAAATATTTCCAACAGCAGCGACCGTCAGGAGATAGCTGGGTGGCAGGGACAGGGGGAGAGGGGCTTTTCTCTGTGGCCACCTGGAAAAAGCCATGTAAGATCCCTGGCTTATCAAGACATAAATACAAAATTAATTCGATTTAATAACCGGTAATTGGCTCCAAGTGTGTAACAAAGCATAATTTACTCTGGAAAGGAACTGTAGAGTAGATAGTTCATGAGAGAAAACGACGAATCCAAGTAGAAGACACTGGAATAATCTGGACAAAATTTAAAAGCACCAAAAACAAAAAAAGTTTCTGTGAAGTGTGAAGTGCGCCCGGGAACTTCATGGACACGCTGAGAAATCCCCAAACCAACTCCAGCAGCAGAATCAAGTTCAGCACTGAGGATATTTCCAACCAGTTTTGATGTCAGGTGAAGGTGAAGTCAGACTGACGGAGCTTGTATCTAGGTAACAGATTAAAACAGCTTTACTTTCTAAACGGTGCGTTAGTGGGCTGAGGTAAGGCATGAGTGGAGGTCGCTTTGAGTTTGACGACGGCGGAGCTTATTGCGGAGGCTGGGAGGGGGGTAAAGCCCACGGCCATGGCATCTGCACCGGACCCAAGGGCCAGGGTGAGTTCTCCGGCTCCTGGAACTACGGCTTCGAGGTGGTGGGAGTCTACACCTGGCCCAGCGGAAACACCTACGAGGGGTACTGGTCGCAAGGGAAACGTCACGGTCTGGGAGTAGAAACCAAAGGACACTGGATTTACAAAGGGGAATGGACTCATGGCTTCAAAGGGAGATATGGCATCCGGATCAGTGTTGGCAGTGGAGCAAA